TTTTTGTGTTGCGAGGCATTGGGATTTGTGGTTATAGCCACATGTGGTGCGGTTTTGTTGGGTTCTCTTAGTGGAATTCGAGTGGGAAGAGTATTGGTTATTGCTCGGCAGATGGAGTATCGATTGTATCCTTTCGTATTTGTGTAATGTTATGTCAATTGATTCGCCATGGTTATGATGATTTGCTTTTGGTTCTAGACATCAAATTGCACGTGGTTGTCGATTTGAGCATAGTGACTTGAGGTGTTTCATGTTTACCAGTGTTTGGATAAGGTCGCGCATTGGAGCGAAGCTATGCGGAGGTATGATCCTGCAGGTTAGATCCGTGTGTTCTGGTTCTACCACGTCTGTCGAGTTCTCAGCATTGATGTGGTGGTACTAGTGAGATTATGGTACAGCTCTCTCATTTGAGTCATTTTTCATGATTTGAGTACGTTCGGATTGTTGCTTATTGGTGCGTGTATTGCATGAGTTGTGGCTTTAGATTGTGCTGATGTGCCATGTCACCAGAGTAGTTGTGTTAGATTAGATGAGATCGTTGGGATCTAGAATGAATACAAACAGATTCGATTTTAGCGTGTTGGAAGGATAATATATCGATGTTCGGCTCAGAAATTTGCTATGGTCCTTGCCAAAGGAGAAGAGACTTCACGAATGGTGATCTGAGGAATGGTCATCACTTTCTTCGTGTTTCATTTATCAGTGGCAGTATACAGAAGTGTTGGAATGAGGCTTTATTTGATAAGGGGTTTATTATCGATATTCGGTTGGTCTGAGCAACTACTGTGATCAGAAGATTGCTACGAGAATTTGAGCTATGTGGTATATCATGTAATTGCATTTGAGGTTGCAGGTATGGTTTGTTACAGCTTGTTCGGGCTTATTCAGAGTATAGATGTGAAATTTTGATCTTGTAGATGATTTTAGAAGTGGAAATGTGGTTCTAAGGTTTATGGGCTAGGTTGGATTGTGAAGTTTCAGTTGCATTGTGTTATCGGACCAATGTGAGATAAGGTGACGTGGGATCACCCCCGGGTATGTGCATGGTAAGGTTACACAGCGATTTGATGGTTTTCGGAATAACTTTGGACACATTCGAGAACGAACGTATGTTTAAGTGGGGGAGGATGTAACAACGCGACCGGTCATTTTGAGCATGCATTTCGCTCGTTGGTTCTCGGGCATGACTAGCCTCGTATGATATATTATAACTTATGTAAATCGTCCGTTTTGGTTTCCAGGTGGAAGAAAACAGATATGGAAGAATGGTTCTCAGCTTAAGGCTTAAAATTTTAGAGGTTTGACCAAGTCTTTGACTTTTAGTACTCGATCTCGGATTTGAATTTTTATAATTAGATTAGCTCTGTTGGGTTTTTTGGGATATTGGAGCGTGTTCGGTACGTAATGTGGATGCTCGTGGTAGATTTAGGCTTGAATTGGGGAAATTGGAATTCTGGCGCTTTCTGGTTGGCAGTGAAAATTTTGATATTTGGGTCGGAATGAAATTTCGGAAATTGGAGTAGGTCCGTAGTGTCATTTGTGATGTGTGTGAAAAAATTTCAGGTCATTCGGAGTTGAATTGATCGGTTCGGCATCGTTTGTGGAATTTAAAAGTTCCTAAGTTCTTAAGCTTGAATCCGAAGTTGATTTGGTATTTTGGTGTTGTTTAGAGTGATTCGAAGGCTCGACTAAGTTTTAATGATGTTATGGGAGGTGTTGGTATTTTTGGGTTGAGGTCCCGAGGGCCTCGGGTGCGATTTCGGTGAGTTTTAAGCGAGTCCGGGCATTACCGAGACTCAGGCATTGATTATGGTGCTTAAATTTATAGCTAGGGCGGAATTTTACCGCTGAGAGCGGTGCTTTTGCCGCTGGGGCGGTGGTTTTACTGCTGGGGCGGAAAATGGTCCGCGGTCCGCAATGAGGAAGAATCCGCAGGATCACTGGTCTGACTTCGGAAGCCTATATCTTTTGATCTACAAGGAATTTTGAGATGATTCAAAAACAAAAGTTGTAGCCCTTCGTTTTGTTTTTAGAAAGATAAAGAAATCACAATTTGAAAATATGTAGAGAAAGTTATGGCCAAAATACTAAAGCATGTCCCTGCAGTTAATATTTTCCGCTGTAGCAGTAGATTTACCACGGTCAGCAGTGGTTACCGTGGTCAGCGGTGATGGGGATCCGAAAGGTGCACTATAAATATGAGACTTGAGGTTTTATTTCATATTCTGACCGAGAGAGCTCGGGCTTTGGCGATTTTTCGAGGGATTTTTAAGAAAACCATCGAGGTAGGTTATTCTAACTCAATTTTGGCTAAAATACATGATTATAAGTTATAACGTTGGATTCATCATTTGAGTAGAGATTTGGGATGTAAATTTGGGAAAAATTATGGAACTTCATAAAATGAATTTTTGGGATTTGAAAGCCGATTCAAAGTCGGAATTAAGTGAAACTGGTATGGATAGTCTCGTAATTGAATGTGTTGTCGGATTTTGAGACTTTGGTAGGATTTTGAGACGTGGGCCCAGGGGTCGGGTTTGAGCAATTTCGATATTCTTGAGTTAATTTAATTATTTCGGTTGGATTTGTTCCTTTAGCGTATATTGATGATAATATACTGATTTTGGTTAGATTTGGAGCATTTGGAGGCCGATTCGAGAGGCAAAGGCATCGCTGGCTAGAGTTTGGACCGGGTTGAGATAAGTAATGATTGTAAATATTTGTTTTGAGGGTATGAAACCCCGGATTTCCCATCGTTGTGCTACTTTAAGCTGACGCACACGCTAGATGACGAGCGTGAGGTCGTGCGCCGTTGGGGATTGTGACTTAGTCTGTCCCGTATGACAGTTAAACCACGTATTTGATTGAAAATTGTTTGATATCATTGTGCTTTAGAAAGCACTATCATGTTTTGGGCTGAATGCCATATTTGGGCCTCGTGCCAACTATTTTGGACCCTTAGGGGATTTTTACTACTATTCCTCACTGTTTTGACTTCATATTTGTACTCAGTCATGCTGCATTCTACTATATTCATAACTCAGCCATATTTACTCCGATTTGATACTTTAAATGATATTTTGGGCTGAGCATCATGTTTTACTGTTGCCCGAGTGGCATGACTTCTGACTGAGTGAGGCTGAGGGCCTGTGTTGTGAGGATATTATGGGATCGGGCTGCACGCCGCAACAGTGTGGTACTGATTTATGATTATGAGGCTGATTGCCTGATTTGTTACACCACGAGGTGGCTTGACATGAGGTCAAGAGCCTGTTTGATCATGCCTCGAGATGGCTTGTTACTACGCTTGGGCCGTAAGGGGCCCCTCCCAGAGTCTGTACACCCCCAGTGAGCGCGGGTACCCAGTGTGAGTGATATGATGTAGCCCGAAGGGCTGCTGTTGTTTCATATTGTTGCCCGAGGGGCTGTTCTTGATCCATGTTTTTCCCGAGGGGCGATTCTTGATTCATGTTTTGATTCATGTTATGCCCGAGAGGCTTATTACGAGTGATTGTAAGGTAGCCCGATGGGCTAGTTCTGCTGATATTATGCCCGAGAGGCGGTTTATGGTACAAGTTTTCCCCGAGGGGATGTTTACGTTTCTATCAATTTTACTCATTGTTTTATCACTCGTTTGAAACTATTGAAAGTTGTTTTAAAAGGTTTTATTGAAACCGAGCATTATTTACGAAGTAAATGATTTCTGTACTGTTTTGGAAATGTACTACATTTGCTGTAGCGTTATGACGTGGCTTACATGTTTTCTTACTGCTCATCTTTCATTTACTTTTATTACTTACTGAGTTGGAGTACTCACATTACTCCCCGCACCGTGTGTGCAGATTTAGGTATTTCTGAACCCGGTAGCGGATGTTGGTTGCTTAGTGGTAGAGTCATCGAAGTTAGCAAGGTAGTTGCCCTACGTTCACAACCCTGCTCTTCTCCCTCTTGTCTTCCTTAGATTGTTTTAGTATAATTTAAGACTCTTCATTGTATTCAAACTTTAGTAGATGCTCGTGACTTGTGACACCCCGATGTCAGGCTTGTGTATTTATTCCGCATTGTTCATTTAGACTTACATTATGAGATATTTGATTAACTAAAGGATTAAAAATGAATTTTATTGAAAAATGGTTAAATTCGGGAATTGTGTCGGCATGCCTAGTTTCGCGATAGACGCCATCACGACCGGGTCAGTTTTAGGGTCGTGACAAGTTAGTATCATAGCCTAGGTTACATAGGTCTCATCAGTCATGAGCAGTTTTAGTAGAGTCTCGCGGATCGGTACAGACGTCTGTACTTATCCTCGGGAGGCTGCAGAACCTTTAGGAAAAACTTCACATTCTTGAATTTTTATCGCGCGTCCTTGATTCATCTTGAAATGTAACTCTTTGAATTCCTTCCACGCGTTCGTATGCGTGCATGAGCGCTTAGTATCAGATGTGCATCGATGGCTTATGATTCTCCGATCGAGGGGCGAGATGTGATCTCTGTGTGTTGATGTTGGGCCAGTCTGGAGGACTTGAGGTCGTGTTTTACCTGTAGCTTTAGCTAGGCTCCCAATATTTTCAGTCACTAATATGAGACTTTCATGTCCAAATGCAGATATCGAAAATCAAGTGGGAAACAAAAAAAAAAAAATCAAATACCAAGTCCTTGATCCAACAGTTGAATAGAAGAATCAAAAATACTCCCTTTAATATTCGAGAAATTATAGAGATTGTACTACACATTGTACTTGAAAATTTAATTAGTACAACTTGTTTAATTTTTCTTGTGTTTGATTTTCGTAGACTCAACACAATTTGCTTCGTGAAAAGTACACTTGTGCAATTTCAACAGCAATATATATATGCTAACATAGATTCCAAAAAATATTTCAAGCAAAAGTAGTTCTTACTTTAACATAGATATTATTACACAATAAAACCAGCTGATGATGATGAGCAGTCAATTGAGGGCTGTAGCCATTGCATTCAGTAGACCAACTCCAGTTTTAATTAAAGCAAATCTTCCTCCTCCTCCTCCACATCATCATCATAATCTTCTTCTTCTTCTTCTTCTGTAGCCATTGCAATATTCGCTAGATCCACTCCAATATTAATTATATCAATTAACAGATTGTTATCCTTTACAGATGATGATGAGGAGGAGGAGGAGGAGTTAGCAACTATGAATTTATCTCCTAAAGCATGCGAAAACGTCAAAGTTCCAAAACTTTTGCTCTCATTTGAATCATTTCTGCGCACTGGAAAAGTACATTCTCCTTTATAACGAGGAGCTAGAGAAACGAGCAGCTCCCCGACGTATTTATCATGTGAGAAAGTCCTTTTGCAAAACAGCTCAATCTTAGAAGGAATAGTACTCCCTTTTATGATATCTTTCTCGGGCACAATGAAGCAAAGTCTGGCATTCCACTTAGGATTCGTCTCGTTCAAACGATCCACTTCTGTGCACTTTGTCTTTCCTGCTATTGAAACCTTTGCATAAACTTTCATTCGACCGAATTCTCGAACATCTTGGAGGTCACTAGCAGAATGGACTGTAAAATAAAAATATCTGGCCTTCATGTTTAGTGGTATTACTTTATTAAGGTGCATGAAATATATCAGCTGTTCAAACGAATGAATTTATAGCGCTTATTTTACAACTCAAGGATGAGGTACTGACCACAAATCTTGAAAAATGATGATCCGTTGATCAAGTCAATTAACGAGTCAGTGTTAATAATTTTGATAGTATGGGCGAAAAAATCAGAATTATATTTAATGCAATCGTAAATTTCATTCTGAGTCAATGCATACATCGTACTTGACTGAAGCAAAGACCTGTAAAGGGAGAAGAGAGTAAGACTCGTAAGACTTTAAGTCGTCCAATACTCCCGAAGAGTAGTTAATTAAGAATTGAAACAACTATATGTATTTACCTTGAACTTAAATAAACCAATAAAATAAAAGTTGAAGAATATTCTTCTTTTAACAACGTCTAAGTTTTTCAACTAAAACAGCTCAAAGATACTATTAATAGGGATAAATTGAAAAATAGCTATATTTACTAGTGGTCATTCAAAAATAGTCATAGTTTCAAAAGTATCAAAATTTAGTCACTTTTCATATAAAGATAAATCTGAACAAAAACACTGTTTAATTTCGAAAAATACTCAAGTATAATATACTGGAGTTCCAGTATACTTTGCTGGAACTCCAGCATATTATACTGGACTTTCAGCATATTATACTGGAGTTCCAGTATAATGTGAGTTGAACGGAGTTTCAATCACAGCTCTTCCTCCATTAATGGAGGTTGCAATGAGAGAATCAAGTTGCAGTAACGAAGATGAGAACGGAAGAAAGAGAAAGGGAAATGTTTCTATATTTTTTGTACACCAGTAAAAGAGACTAATACATCATATATATATATATATATATATATACATACACTTTCCACTAATTTAGTCCTCAACTAATTATCACTAACCACCTCAGCTAACTCTAACAAACTAGTGACAGCTGGGTAAATGCCTCCACTAACTTGCCCAGCCGTTATTCCTTCAGCTCCTTTCACACTCCCCCTCAAGGTGGAGGGTGTAGAATGTTAAGCACTCCAAGCTTGCTCAACAAATACTCATGTTGTATTCTCCCAAGTCCCTTGGTAAGCAAGTCTGACTGCTGCTCTTTTGTCCCTACATGATATGTTTTGATTTTCCTATCCTTGATCTTGTCCCTTATAAAGTGACAATCGATTTCTATATGCTTTGTTCTTTCGTGGAATATGGGGTTGGCTGCAATCTGTAGAGCTGCTTACTATCACAGAACACATTCAAAGGTTGCTCAATTGGAATGCTAAGTTCTACAAACAATCCAAGTAACCACACTATCTCAGCAGTAGCTGCAGCAAGACTTCTATACTCTACTTCTGCTGAACTTCTTGATATTGTCTGCTGCTTTTTTGATTTCCTTGAGATCAATGAATCCCCATATTTCACTAGGAAACCAATCACTGACCTTCTAGTATTAGGACATGAGGCCCAGTCTGCATCACAATAACAAGTTAGACTGTTTGCACCTTTGCTGCTTAGTAGAATGCCTATCCCTGGATTTAGTTTGAGATACTTTACAACTCTCAATGCTGCTTCCCAGTGAGATTGCTTGGGTGACTGCATGAACTAACTAAGTGTTTGGACAGCAAATACTATATCTGGTCTTGTGATTGTTAGATATATTAATCTTCCAATCAACCTTTGATAGCCTGTAACATCTCTTATCAACTCATCTCCAGACACTCCAACATGTTCATCAAATTCAGCTGAAGTGAATTTTTGATTCATGTCTATTGGAGTCCCCACTGGTTTAGCAACCCCTAACCCCAGGTCAGAGATCAGCTGTAGGGCATACTTCCTTTGGTTTAATAAGATTCCTTTGTTGGATCTCATGACTTCAATTCCCAAGAAGTATTTTAACTCCCCCAAATCTCTCACCTTAAACTTTTGATTTAGAACATCTTTAGTCTCCTGAATGAATTGCTTATTATTTCCTGTGATAAGTAAATTATCCACATATACAAGCACTGCCACAAAATCTGATTCTCTCCTCTTGGTGAATAGTGAATAGTCATACAGACTTTGCTTGTATCCTGCCTCCAGAAGTGCTTCTGTAAGTTTGATGTTCCGCTGTCTTGAAGCTTGTTTTAATCCATATAATGTCTTCACTAACTTGCATACTTTAGTCTCCCCCTGTCTTTTAAAACCTTGAGGCATCTCCATATACACTTCTTCATATAAGTCCCCTTGCAGAAAAGCATTATACATATCCATTTGATACATGTTCCACCCTTTAGATGTTGCTACTGTAATAACTGACCTCACAATTACCATTTTGGCAACAGGTGAGAAGGTCTCATGGTAATCTAACCCTTCGTTTTGGCTATAGCCTTTTGCTACTAGCCTGGCCTTGAACCTTTCCACATCTCCATTAGCTTTGTATTTGATTTTGTACATCCATTTTGATCCAATTGTGTTTTTTCCTCTGGGCAGGTCTACTATCTCCCATGTTTTGTTATCCTCCAATACCTTGATTTCTTGTTTCATTGCTTCAATCCATCTTTTGTCTCCTGATGCTTCTACAAAACTCTGTGGTTCGGTAAGTGCTGAGATCTTTCCTACAAAACTTCTACTTGCTTGTGAAAGTTGATCATAGCACAAATAATCTGAAATAGGATATAAGGCCACACTATGTGTCTTTTTCTTGGTAAAATAGTCTTGTAGCCATATGGGTTCTTTGATACTTCTACCAGATCTTCTTGGTTCTGCAGGTTCATCATGTGGATCTTGATGATGTTCAAAGGGTTCTGCAGCTTCTTCAAACACTACAGCATCAGCAGCATTGTTATCATTTTCATAACTAGCATCAGGCTCACTTCGTGATCATGATCTTCATGGGCTGCAGTAGTTGTATCCAGTTCAGGTTCAAGTACATCATCTACCATATCCCTGCAATGGCTCATGCTCATGCTCAACTGATGAACTCCCCCTAGCAGGAGCATTAACAGGATGCAATGAGGAGGACTTAGCAAATGGAAAAATATGCTCTTTGAAAACTACATCCCTGCAAACAAAAAATTGATTAGTTGCAAGGTCCAAGAGCCTATAGCCCTTCTATGTATCTGAATATCCCATGTGTACAGCAGATTTGGCTCTTGCTGAGAACTTGTTGTCATGTAGCATTGTTGTAGCATAGCACAAGCATCCAAAGACTCTTAAATGCTCAAGAAAAGGCTTTTGATGATGCAACAATTCATATGGTGATCTACCTTGTAAAATGATAGGGGTTAGCCTATTTATGATGTAAACAGCAGTAACTATACACTCTCCCTAGTATTTGGATGGTATAGTTGCCTGAAATTTTAGGGCTCTTGCTGTGTCGAGTATGTGTCTATGTTTTCTTTCCACTACCCCATTCTATTGAGGGGTGTAGGAACAACTACTTTGATGTATAATGCCATAATGTTCAAACAAATCAGTACACTATTTGCTAAAGAACTCTCCTCCATTATCAGTTCTAATAGTTTTAACAACTACATCAAATTGTGTTCTTAGCATAGAAAGAAACTTCTGCAACACAACTATTACATCACTTTTCAATTGTAGTAAATGTACCCAGGTATATCTGGAATAGTCATCCATAACTGTTAGAAAGTAGTATTTTCTATCATGTGTGGGAATCTTGTATGGTCCCCAGACATCCATGTGTAGAAGCTGCAAATGACTACTACTTCTTGTAATACTTCTAGGAAAGACTAATCTACTTTGCTTAGCCAATGGACATACAGAACAGTCCTTATTGTCATCTAGATCTTTAAGTTGTAAAAAGTCTATATTTTTCATTGTACTAATAGAAGTGTGACCTAATCTTTTGTGCCAAAGAATACCATCTACTGCTGGTTTCTGAACTGCTACCACTGATGCTTCCTTCAGACTTCTGGCAATATGTTTATCCTTCACCACATACAGACCTCCCTTTTCCTTACCAATCCCCCTTACCCTGCCACTCCAAAGGTCCTGAAACACACAGAAGTCAGGATGAAGGTGGACAGAGCATCTGAGTTCCTTTGTAAGTTTTGACACAGACAACAAATTAAATTTGAAATCAGGAACATATAACACATTCTTAATCTCCATATCATGAAGAAATGTTGCACTACCAATATGGGATATATTTGTCTTCTCACCAGTAGGCAAATGAACCTGATCATCACCATCTTTCAATTCAACCTTAGAATGCAATATGTCTAGGGAAGCTGCTATATGATGAGTTGCACCAGAGTCAACTATCCATTCTCTACAAGGATTTTCAGTCATTAGTGCAGTAGAAATGGTTGCCATATTGACTTGTGGAACTGTGGTATCCTTATTCAGCATGTCCAGAATCTGTTTGTATTGGCTCTCAATAAAGAAGTGTCCTCCTGCAGGATCCTCATTGTGTGCCTTACTACCAGCTGCAAGTGGATGTTCTTCACACTCTGCATTGCCAGTTGCACAATTGGCCACAACCTTTCTCTTAGCATTGAAATCTGCAGGGCACCCTATCAACTTGTAGCAATTCTCCTTCAAGTTACCGGTCATCTTACAGTAATCACATTTCATGAATGGTTTTTTTCCTTTGTTGCCTTGTCCTCTTCCAGCCTGCATAGCAATGGGATCTCTTCTAGCTCCCAAGACTGGATACGGATTAGATCTTTGACTTTCATCCTCAATTATCAATGCACAAGCTTGATTCAAGGTTGGTTCAACAGTTTTCATCAAAATCTGCCTCCTTGCTTGTTCATAGGTCTCATTCAAACCACTGAGAAATTGAAGTAACCTTTGGCGTTGAAGGTGCTCAATGTAGTCCTTAGATTTAGCACAATCGCAACCTGGTGTGGGAATCAGGGCATCATACTCCGACCACATCTCCTTCAGTCTAGTAAAATATGAGTCAAAAGAATCAGTACCCTGCGAAATTGTTGCAATTTCTCTGTGCAGTTGGAAAATCCGAACTCGATTCACCTTATCAAATCTCTCCTTTAAATCTTC